CAGCAGTGGTCTGTCAGTTAAGGGCTCCGGCTCGAAACTGGTAGGTCCTGGGTTCAAATCTCACGAGTGCGGGATCGTAGATGCGCACTGCTGAGGAGTCCCATAATAGGACAAAACGGCCGTCCAGTGCTTCCAGGTTTTCGATGGTTGTCTAGCTTCAACTGACCCATGATTTCAACTATGAAAATACTAAATTCTCAACAAAACCTCCTCTGATCTATTGTATTTTAGTCTATTAACTTAAATTAGTTCATATTTACTTCAAAGATGATTACATTGTTAAGATGAGAAACAGATGACTGAACAATGAACTGTTTTCAACATAAGAATTCATTTATGAAAGTTCTCTTCTTCTGAATGATATATTTACTTGATGCAATCAAATATTCACAAGTCTCCGATAAAATAACTTATCTTCAATAGTGTCCAGGACTTAAAACGATTATTATTTTTTCTTTATGAAACCGGTAAAGAATAATTTCTTTATGTTATACTAAAACGAATAAACAATTTTTGGTCGTATAGTCATGAGAGATATCAGTTAAATTCTATAGAATCTCTTCAAGATGATTAATAAGTAAAACACTTCATATCTCTTCTGATGTACTTAAGCTATTTTAATCAAACAGTTTAAGTGAATGGAAGCAGTTGAAATGATATAATTGTTACTATCATTATTATGACTGATATTCATTATTCTTATTTGATATTTATCTTCGATGCAAGTATTTATTTTATCCCATGAGATATAATCTGATTTATTTGGTAAATTAGGTTTCCGACTTATTATTTTCATTATTGACACATCTACTGAATGAATCTAATTAAGTAATCTTTTTATATTGTCCTTACGTTATGTCTGTTATTATGGGATTGTTACTCTGATCAACAAATGGTTGTTTATTAATTAACATTTATAATTATAAAAAAGTAAAGTGTCGTTCGAGTTTTATTTCCATCTATGTAACTTTTATTTACATAAGACAAACTGAATAGGTCCCCTTTAAGAAACAAGTGTTTATTCAATTTTTGTTTTAATTTTAGTATTTAAATATTACGATTTATAAGTAGTAGATGAGAGAACATGATAAGGTGAAGTAAATTCATCGTGTGCTCGGGCGCAGAGACGATAATCCAATTGGTGTCACCATCTTGAAACACCGACTTCGGTGGCTTGGACATGTTTTACGAATGTCATCCCAGAGAATTCCACGTCGTGCATTATTTGCCGACTCTGGGACTGGTTGGAAAAAGCGGAGAGGAGGTCAGTGTATGACATGGTGTCGTGGTATGAAATAAAGCTGTAAAGGGCTAGCTTCTGTTGGTCCTTCACGACTCCCTGGCTGGGGTCTGAGAGATGGTGCAACACAGTGGCTAGAGACGTTATCAGATATGGCTCAGAATAGAAGCCAGTGGCGATCCTGCTATAACCTTCTTTTACTTTCTTCATAAAGAGTGGCTATAACTTTCTTAACTGAGAGAGCTCTTCTGGTTGTACATTTCAGTCCCTCCATCATTACCCTTCTCCTTTTCTTTTTTTCCTTCTTTTATATATACGCATCTTCTTCCTTCTCCTCCCATTCTCATTATTTTGTGTGGCGCATATGTATCCGGTGCCCTTTGTACCAATATATATGTGATTAAATAAATAAATAAATAAAACTCATGTTAGTAAATCTAAAAGACTGTCCGATTAAAAGTCTTTATCCGAACTTCAATTTCACTAATACTGTTATTGAATTAAATTACCGTAACTTTCAAATTATGCTAATTTCTATAACTAATTACTACATCTTGAAATCATATGGGAGGAGAGTTCATGGAAATAGCAGTGACTATGATTCGTAATTACTTTCTCATTGAAAAAAACGAGATATGTTCTGAGTTAGTACACCCAAGCAAAATATTACCATAACCGATCTAAACAAAAAGGCACTTGACCTTTTTGAGATGGTGGAGAAGATTTGTAGCTCAGGTGGGTGATTTTGATGTTGGTTTGTTCTCTGAGCTGGGCGATGAAAGCTCCACGACCAAACCACCCAGCTCAGAGAACAAACCAACATCAAAACTTGACCTTTTTATCTAGGTTCAATAGTATATGTTTCAAACTACTGTAAGTACGTGACCCAATGATAACATTTACTGGAAAATAATTGTCATTCATTCATTTTGAGAAAAGATTTTCAAGTCACTAGAAGCTATGGTTTCTTTGTCCTAGGTATGGTTGGGCTAAAATAAATGCATAATCATCACAATAAACTTGATTTCTCAGAACACAGTAGAAAATTTGAACTTCTCCAAATATCCTGAATATCGCTAACTAATTAAAATATGTATTATGTATTTCATTAGGATAAGTGGGAAACCTGTAAATAATTTTAGAGTCATAATAAAGAAATAACTAAAAAGATATATTTCTCCTCTCCACTTGTTTCTTCAAAGTGAAATATAGCAAAATCCGTTGTAGTAGTTTACGGGTGTTGCATTCGTCCGTAGATTTTACAATCCAAAATTTGACTCCATATAGAAGTCGTGAGGAGTTTAAGACAGGGTCGAAATGGCTGCTTTATTCATTTTTTTTCATCTGTCTTCTAGTTGATATCAGTTCATAATAAAAATTATACTTCAAAATAATAGAACCTGTTTAAAATTACTAATAGACTGTTGTCATTTTAATTACTTTCCACTATCTTTCCAATGTTAACAAATGGTTTGGGCAGTACCAAATATAGATTTACGCGTATTTATTCATCTTGATTTATTAATTTTTAATAAAATAATTAATTTCCTAACATTAACTTCATTAATAATGTATCAGGACTATTGGAAATTTTAATGACAGTTCTGGTCGTAAATTGTTTAGAGAGAATATTAACTTCGTCAATGGTTCTTCAGTCGATGTAGGTTTTTGACAAGAATTGCCTTCGTATATTAAAAATTCTGAAAAGAAACATTAAAGTAAATATTCACGTCCCGGTCGATCAGTAGTACAATCGGTCAGTTTTTATTTGAGTACGTGATCCACTAACGCGCATTCGTACATCACACTAATTTTATTTCGAACAGAAAAATATTATATGAATTGGTTTCTAACGTTGAAGTCGTCCACTATCATTATCATGTGTACGATTATTTACCGTATGACTCAGCATATATGTATGCTACAGTCTTATCATTACAAAGTGTCTTTTTCATTATAGGTTTATGCGTGTAGGTACATGCAAATACTTGCACATAACGTATCTTCGTTTGACCATGTGTTTCAAATGAGGTCATGGTCACCTTGAATTTTATTCAGGGTCAAGAGTGAGTCACTGAAAATAATCTTTATGTTTGGTTTTTTTGCATAAAACACAATTAATGAAATACAAATTCATTCGCTGAGATTTTACAAATATATTATTCCTATTTAATGTCTTACATCAACTCGGCGCTCAAATACTGTGAAACTATTCGCTCTAATTTAGACGAGAGTTCTTATATATTAATGAAATAGAGTTTCAATTACAGAAGACACATTAAGCACAGAATTTTTCGATTGTTTTGACAGATGAACTGCCCATAAACATAAATGAAGTTAATGCTCCAAGTTTCTGGAATTGTGATGACACCACAATTACGATATATGAAGTCGGAGATAGTCCACCTTGTTAATTAGTGATCTGCAGTTAGAATTTAGCAGCTTGGGAATCATGTTCATTCCCTTTAATGCATATTGCCAGCCACCACGATGTTTCTTATTGTACTTTTTTGTAATTTTTGCAGCGAAAGAACGTAAGCTTTTCATAAACGCGCCTGTATAGGTTATGCGATTAATCGACATAATGAGGTGTTAAAACAGAATAAAAAGCAGAAAACTAGTTGAAATATTTAGGTGGCAGAGACTGGTAGCCCAGATATTCAAGCAGATAGCCAGACTAGTCTGGTTAGTCACTAATAACGATCTTCGCTTGACAATTTTAAAAGTGACGCTGAAATCTCTCATCTTGTAGACGTATAATTAATTTCTAGTCTTTAGTATACCTTATAATTACTAGTCAGTCTGATGATTCATTTCTTTACATGTAACCAAATTTATCTAATATTTCTAACTGAACATGATCTGTACAGATGCATTCTAACATGCAAGCATTATTCATTGAACTAATTATCTCATACAAATACGATTACACAGCATTTGTAAATGAAATCGCCAGAAAGAAAATTTTATTTGAAAGACGGGTTTGAATTCTTAATTATGGATTTCATAACCAATTTTGTTTAATGCAATTAAATCATATGGTGCGAAAGTAAAAATCCATAAAATCATCAAGATTGAACATCATATATGATATTAAAGATGTAAAACTCACTTCTACTAAGTAATAGAGATGAAATTCAAATAATTTTCCAGTGTTATATAACTTAACCTTATCCAATTAAGGGAGCATTATAGCCGACAAGCAGAAATATGTAGAAGACTTACCAATCACGGCGGAAACAGCTGCGAGAGAAGCAGCACACACACTTTCCTACAGATCTCACTCCATCAACGAGCAAAGAAATCGGCATAGTCATCACACAAATCAAGACTGAGAAAACAGTGCGACCTGACAAAATACTAGCTCAACCAATGAAGTAACACATTAAAGTAACTGCAAACATGCTCGATATTCGATTCAGGAAGATTTGGGAGGAAGAACAAGTGCCGACAGACTGGAAAGAAGGATATCTCATCAAGATACCAAAGAAGGGGGATCTGAGCAGTAGTGAGAACTACAGGGGAATCACACTACCATCACTATCAGGAAACGTTTTAAACAGTGTTATTGAAGCGGATGAAAGATTCAGTAGACGTCGAACTTCGAGATCAACAGGATGGATTGTGTAAGGATCGGTCGTGGACAGACCAAATTGCAACACTACCGATCACTGTTGAACAATCAATTGAATGGAACTCATCACTATACAACAACTTCATTGACTACGAGAAAACATTTGACAGTGTGAATAGGAGAACCTCATGGAACATTGATCGACAATATGGTGATAGTAGTAGTAGTAGTAGTAGTAGTAGTAGTAGTAGTAGTAGTAGTAGTAGTAGTAGTAGTAGTAGTAGTAGTAGTAGTAGTAGTAGTAGTAGTAGTAGTAGTAGTAGTAGTAGTAGTAGTAGTAGTAGTAGTAGTAGTAGTAGTAGTAGTAGTAGTAGTAGTAGTAGTAGTAGTGGTAGTAGTAGTAGTTGAGAAGATCGTCAACATCATACTGAATTCATACGATGGACTACATTGTAAAGTCTTGTATGAAGGATAGTTGACAGATGCATTGCAAATGAGGACCAGTGTGAGACAAGGTTACTTACTCTCACTCTTTCTCTTTCTTCTGATGGTCGAATGGATGATGAAGACGTTCATATCTGAGGGGAATCATGGAATACAATGGACAAGTTGAGTGAGGCAAGACGATTGGCACTACACAGACGGCCTAACCAACCCATCTCATACACACAAACGAATGTAGGTCAAGACAACTAGTGTAGCAACAAGCTCTCCGTCAGTAGGTCTCAACATAAACAATGGAAGGAACAAGATCCTCAAATACAACACGGTGAACACCAACACAATCACACTTGATGGAGAAACTGTGTGAGAGGTGGAATCTTTCACATACTTGGTGAGCAGCATCGATAAAGAAGGAGGATCTGATGTAGACATGAAGGTGAGGATTGGTGAAGTAAGGACAACATTTCTACAATTGAAGAACATGTGGAACTACGAAGAATTGTCAGACAACACCGATGTGTGAATTTTCAATGTGAACGTGAAGACAGTTCTACTGTACGGAGCTGGAACTCACAGAACTACCACAACGATGATGAAATAGGTACAAGTATTTGTAAACAATTGTCTACACAAGATACTCGATGTCCGTTGATGGGAAACCATCAGTAACAGCGTATTGTGTGAGAGAACAAGTCAACTTCCAAGTGAAGAGGAGATTGTGAAAATACAGTGGAGTTGGATAGTACACAGTTGACAGAAATCATGAAGGCACAGCATGAAGCAGGTTGTAACTTGGAATCGTGAATGGATTATGGGAATATTGAGATGGAGTGACCCAGTTTGTTGGGAATCGGAGTCATACATTTGGAGAATGAATAGCGATTGGAAAGAACTGCAGAGGAGAAGTGAGGCTAGTATTCGTTGGAGGATTCTGATAGGTATCTATGCTTCTTTAAGAGGCATGACAGTTGTAATTAAGCAAGTAATGAATATGATATTCATTAGAAACACAGTTTGGAGTATGAAATAATAATGAAATAAAACTGTTGAAGACATTAAGCTTAGGAATAGATCACTTATGTAGCTAAATTTCTTCGTTATCAACATTTATCTATTATCTGTTCAAAAGGAGATTAATTTGAATAAAATACTACAGTTAAACTACTCAAATCAAGGAAATATTCCTACTTAGATATTCAAAAAAATGCAAAGTAAAGTGAAGGAACGTTTTGTTTTACAATCATTTTCTAATTATGTTTTCACATTAATATGTATGTTTAATAATTATATTATAATGTATACATAAAGTGATGTATTTAGATATGATGAACTGAATACTTATCAATGATAATAATCATGAATGAATAATGAAGATGGTATGAATGAAGTAATTAATGTTCAATGGTATTGATTCACAAATGATTGACTTTAGACATATAGTTAATCAATCGATTAACTACATCATATCTGGTATAAAAATTAAACAAAACTTATTGAGAAATCGAATATAGGTGAGAGTTACGTAAGAATGGACAGAAGAATACGGTATTTATGTAGGAGTTTGATTGAAAGGCTTTTTGTGAAGTTTCGTATGATTTCTAGATTGTATTTATCACAGACTGATCTTGGTTGGATTACCAGTGAAAATCAAAGATCACTGGATAACTATTTAGGATACTATGAGATTCATCGGTAGAGCTTATTCACTTAATTTTTTACCGTGTTTAACAACAATCTCTAAAAAGATATCAAATTTATTGAGAATATCAGATACTGTGCATTTTTAACGTGTATTGTGGATAGAATAGCATTAATAAATGAATAATCTTATCATAATACAACTTTTTATTTCTGTACTCTTTGTTTTGAATTCGATTTTTTGAGGGTAGAAAGGTATAAAAATACAGGAAAACTTCGGTAGTACCGAAGAGCTTCTGAAGATCATTCCGGTTGATTTAATCAAGGACAATTACTTTTGATTAAGAAATTTATACTTTCTCATTTAATAAAAACGAGGCCTCAAGTGAACACAAAGAAATTATTTCAAACGACCCATACACAGAAGGTCATCGGTATCAGCCTTAATAAACCAGTCCTACACATTTGTAAGAAATTTATTTAGATAAAGTTGACTCTATACATTATTTGTAAATTAAATTTTTTCATAATTGAAATCATGAGTCAATTGAAGCTAGACCACCATCGAAAACCTGGAAGCACTAGACGGTCGTTTCATCCTGTTGTGGGACTCCTCAGCAGTGCGCATCCACGATCCCACCTCGTGAGATTCGAGTCCAGGACCTACCAGTCTCACGCCAGAGCACTTAACCGATACACCACTGAGCTGGCCGGCATTCAACAGTGTTAATGTCTAACTTCAACCAATCTACGAAATCTGAGCAACCATTCACCAATGTCATCAGTGAGTTGGTATCTCTGCAACAGACGTGGTTGAACTCCACTGGTCACTGCTTCCCACTAGAACTCCAGGAAATATCTCTTGAAGCCAGTCACTAGTGAGCATATGATTTAAATTTTTATCATTCAAGAAGGAGTGATTGAAAAAATTGACAGATTTTGGAAAAAATACTAATACATAAAAATGATTTATTCGATGCCCTCAAATAAATTTATTCAAATAGCACAATAATAATAAATTGATTATATTATAGTTTCATCTTAATATTATTACTAATCATTACTAAATGAATAATTCTTTTTAAGGACAAAAAGTCTTTTTGATGATATAATTAATTTTGAATAAATTTCTTAGTTAAAACAATGACAGTGATATCATTTGATTCTTTTGTACATAATATCATCTGATTTGTTAAATGTACAATTTGTTAAAAGTAAAATGTCAAATGTTATTATATTACACTAATATACATACATTCATTCATATTTGAATAGTGCTTCTCTTTCTCTCAATTCAAAAATCGAAAAAAGAATTGATTATCTAGTTCATTTACATATTTATTCATAATGTTTCGATGAAAGTAATCATTAGAAAACGTAACAGGATAGTGATAGTTTGTTTTATTTTAAGGTTATGCATAATAAAAAATTGTATACATTAAGTTTTATATCAGACTGACAGAAACTAACACTGAACAGAATGTGAGAGATATTTTTAAAATAGTCGAAACTTAATGAAATGAAAGAAATTGTAGTGATTATTCATAAGAAGAACTATGTTATAAATTGGACAGCTAAGATGCAGCTGGATGATCTGGACTTCACAGATGATCTGACTCTTCTATCACACACGCAACAACAAATACAGGAGAAGACGACCAGTGTAGCAGAAGCCTCAGCAGCAGTAGGTCTCAATATAAACAAAGGGAAATGCAAGATTCTCCGATACAATACAGCATGCATCAATCGAATCACACTTGACGGAGAAACTTTGGAAGATGTGAAAACCTTTACATATCTGGGCAGCATCGTTGATGAACATGGTGGGTCTGATGCAGATGTGAAGATGCGGATCTGCAAAACAAGAGCAGCATATCTACAATTGAAGAACATCTGGAACTCAAAACAATTGTCAACCAACACCAAGATCAGAATTATCAATACAAATGTCAAGACAGTTCTACTGTATGGGGCGGAAACGTGGAGAACTTTGAAAGCCACCATCCAGAAGATACAAGTATTTATTAACAGTTATCTATGCAATATTCTTCGAATCCGTTGGTCAGAAACTATCAGCAACAACCTACTGTACTTACTTACTTACTTACGCCTGTTACTCCCAATGGAGCATAGGCCGCCGACCAGCTTTCTCCAACCCACTCTGTCCTGGGCTTCCTTTAATAGTTCTATCCAGTTCTTGTTCATTCTTCTCATGTCTGTCTCTATTTCTCGGTGTAATGTGTTCTTTGGTCTTCCTCTTCTCCTTTGACCTTCAGGATTCCATGTGAGGGCAACAACCTACTGTGGGAGAGAACAAAACAGATTTCAGCGGAGGGAGAAATGAGAAAGAAGCGGTGGAGGTGGATAGGACACACATTGAGGAAAGCACCCAACTGCGTCACAAGACAAGCCCTCACATGGAATCCTGAAGGTGGAAGAAGAACATGAAGACCAAAGAACATAATAATTTGAGAAATAGAGACAGACACGAGAATGAACAAAATTGGATAGAACTGGATAGAAGGCCCAAGACAGACTGAGTGGGTTTGAGAATGTTGATCGGCGGTCTATGCTCGATTGGAGGTAACAGGCGTAAGTAAGTAAGTAATGTTATAATTAAGTGAGTTTTCTTAAATTCTGAAGAATAACTAAGGACTGAGTATTTCATTAAAGCCAAATTCATGGTGGCCAGACTGCTTTATATAAACTGTAAACTATCACCAGATAACTGAAATCACCTAAATCATAAAATGACTAACTACAAAAAGCTAATCATTTAATTCTGACCCACTAAGCCGTTAACAGTATGCTGAGATATACCTAATATAGGTTGAAGCGTCTATGTTTTGAATAATGTACATTACTAACGAGACAGACGACACGATTATCAAGTTATTATCAATTTTTAATAACTGTTTTTATAAGATAACAAACTCTTACGTTATGATAAAATGTCTATTTGATATAGTATTGTACTTCACTATTAAAAATGAATACTAATTAGTATTTCATGTAGTGAAGAATCATAGCGAGGAATGTAAGTGATGTTAGTGCGTTATTTATTCATAGAACGACTTAAAAGTGCAATTTTTCTCTGTTTTAGTTCCAGTTCCAAATACTATCTAATTAGACTTTAAAAATATGAAGCCATGAATGCAGGATCATTAAACACAGACATCGTTCTAATAGTATATAAAGCAATTCTTCTCAATGACATGATACACACTAATTAATGAATAATATCAGAAACTGTTGTTTAATACTAGAATAATTTATAATTCTGAAATATTATTATCTGTTATATTGACTTAACTTTTGGTTAAAATCATTGATCCAAACTC